AATGAAAATTTACTCACCCTCAGGCCATCCAAGATATAGATGGGTTTGTTTTGTGATTCAAACAGATTTGGAGAAATTTTGCATTACTTGCTCACCAGTGGATTCACTTCAGTGAATGGGTGCCGTCAGAAACAAGCAGTCCAAAAAGCTGATAAAAACATTGCAATAATCCACATGTAATCCACATGAATCCAGTCCAATTAACTTCTTGTGAATCTAAAAACTGTGTTCATAATAAACAAATTTAGCATTAAGATGTTTTTTAACTTGAAACCATTTCTTTCACTGGAGGAAGCGTTACTATAGAATATGGAGTTGTATTTTGTCCAGAAGCGACTGTTTAAATTTAAAGGGTTAGTTCACCCAAATATGAAATTTACTCCATGATTTACTCACCCTCAAGCCATCCTAGATGTATATGACTTTCTTCTTTCAGACGAATACAATCGGAGATATATTAAAAAACATCCTGGCTCTTCCCAGCTTTATAATGGGAGTGGATCGTAGCCCAAAATTTGAAGTCCAAAAGATTGAACCAATTCATTATAAAAGAAGTCCACACGGCTCCGGGGGGTTAATAAAGGCCTCCCGAAGCGAAGTGATGCGTTTGTGTAAGAAAAATATCCATATTTACAACTTTATAAACCTTAATCTCTAACTTTCAAACTAACTGTCGTATGCGCAGGTACGTAAAATCATGGGGTAATTTTCATTTTTGGCTGAACTATCCCTTTAAATTGCTTTAATAATGGATTTGTTTATTACACACATGCAGCTTTTCACTTCATAAGATGTTAATTGGTGGACTTGAGTGATGTGGATTATTGTGATGTTTTTATCAGCTGTTTGGACTCTCATTCTGACGGCACCCATTCACTGAAGAGGATCTACTGGTGAGCAAGTGATGTAATGCTAAATTTCTCCAAACCTGTTCTGATGAACAAACAAGTAATTTACATCTTGGATAGCCTAAGTGTGAGTAAATTTTCATTTTCTGGGTGAACTATCCCATTAAAAATATGATGAAATATTAAAACAGATGAAAATATATATTTCAATTAAATGATCAAAAAAGTGTATTAATATTATAATAATATAAAAATTTGAATTAAAAAGGTCTCACTCTCATCTCTGTGAACTCTTTACAGCTGCAGCTGCTGCAGATATGGCGTATCATCATGTCCGCCCTCCTATCGGATACTCGATTCCCAAACCCATCTCAGCACTGCTGATGAGAGGCTGGAATGTCTGTCCAGAGGTGAGTGACCCACATCCAGCCCAAAACATGCTCAGAAAAGAAGTAGGTTTATCAAGAGATATGCACACTTACTTTAAATGCATGTAAAATATATATTTTTTAAATCACTATGAAATTAGATTAGTTGCTTTTCCACAGTTTAAATTCTAACATTTAGTTGCTTGCTTTCTAGGTAAAGAGGTGCGATAAACCACTCAAATTTTTGCAAGTACATAAAGCATCATTTAAAAAAAAAAGTTGAACCAAAGTTGAAATAAAGAGCTTAAACTAATTTAGAAATATCCAAATTCATATGGCCCTATTAAATCCATTCATGAACTACTACTCTGTGCCACTGAGTCTGTTTATAATCAGTTAGATTACCCAGAATGCCTTATCTCTGTAGCTCAGGACAAGTTGTATTTCTGTTTCTGAGCATCCAGTTGCTAGCTTACCGTGTCTCTCTACAACAACAGGTGTTATTTCTTATATACAGCATCTTTGCAATGTTCTCAGCGCTGGTCCCTCAGGTGCGGGGCTGAAACTGTGTCAAGCGTGCTTGTTAGGAATGTGCCCTGGTAACAAGTGCGGCTTTACACTATTCTCTGGAGCACAGAGCTTTTGCTGAGCAACACTTTAAAAGAGCCAGGATGCCAACAGCTTGTACGGTGCTTTCATTTAGTGTCGCTTAAAGAGATGAACAAGATTCAGTTTTAAATAACTGCTTTATATTTTAATACATGACTTTTATATTTAAATAATGTCATTTATTCCGGCAATTTTCAGCAGCCATTACTTCAGTCTTCAGCGTCACATGATCCTTCAGAAATCATTCTGATATGCAGATTTGCTGCTCAAGAAACATTTCTTACTATTATCTAAGTTGTGCTGCTTAATATATTTATGGAAACCTTTATGTACATAAACAACATAGGATTCTTTATACAAAGCAATTCATTGCAGAATTCACTTTTAATACATGCTTGCTAAATAGTATTTTTTAAAACCCCAATCATTTCAACGGTGGTGTATATATGGTCTTCATAATTCATGTGTGTTTTTTTTTGTGTCTCGTTTCTCTGATGAAGTACTGTATCTGGTCTTTTGAAGTCCTTCACTCTGAATGATGCTTGGGCAGCGAGTCCTCTTCAGAGGAGCAGCTGATTGGATAGCCAGAAATTATTTCCTGTACTTCAACCAAACCTCTCTGATGAAAATCCCCTATTTTTGACCCTCTGACAGGAAAGACCCGAGTTTTCGGAAGTGGTTGCCAAACTAGAGGAATGCCTGTGTAACGTGGAGGTAGCATACATGCACATATCTACTATACATTGTTATTTTATTAGTCCAGTACTTATTCATATTTCTATGTGTGTCCAGCTAATGTCTCCAGCCTCCAGTAACAGCAGTGGTTCTCTTTCGCCCTCATCCTCCACTGACTGCCTGGTAGCACGTGGTAGTCCTGGACGAAGTCACGTAGCTGCCCTTCGCTCGCGTTTCGAGTTGGAATATGCCCTCAACGCCCGTGCCTATGCATTTTGGACCCAAAAGTACACAAATCTATCACAAACCTATATACTATCCAAGAATGAGACTGTGATTTTGCAAACTGAGTTGTATTTGCTAGGAAAAGCCTCCCACCAACTTATTGCCAAACTACATTAGTGAGAAAACAAATATGAATTTAAATAGAGGCCATTGTGTCATACCCATACATTAATGGAGGAGTCAGGTCACCTTGCTCTTTTGTTTGGTCACTCAGTGCTATGCAGTCCAACCACAACACTTCTGTACAGTCTGAAGTGCTGTTGCTTGGAAACCAGGGCATGAAAACAAAAGAAAGCAACTGCAATGAAACTTGCATGACATTCACACTGAGAACCTTTGCTGGTGGTCGCCTCTTAATTCTTTATGGGTGGTGATGAATGAGTGTGTGTTTTGGAGGAACCTGGCAACTGTCAACAAAACCGCCAACTGAGAAATTACTAGAAGGGACTCCTGCTTTGGAGCCTAATTTAGTCATAATCTTTGCAATATGATGTTTTATGTAACCAGATCTAGCAATGTATGCAGTTTGGTGGTATGAGCAATAAATTAGGCTAAAGTGACACTGTGAATGACTAAATAGAAAACAAATTCAATAGAGGATCATCTGAGCAGGACAAACCCTGCAAGGCCTCATTGAGCTGATATGACAACAACAAAGCAATGGAAGTGTATCCTATCTAGCATCATTAAAATTTCATATCGCAGAAGAATCGTGCTTGTTCTGTGGTCTTTAGTGTAAACCAATACTAATCGCATTGTTGATTCAATCCTTTCTTTTATTTTGACAGCTCTGGTCGGAGGTCTTCACAGGGTTTGTCCCTGGATGAGCTGAGGAGGAACATGCAGTTCCCACCCATAGACCGAAACGGTTCGTGTCCAACTGGAAATGACTATCAAACTTGTGACTCATCTGTTTATGTAACAGCTTAATGGGGGGGCAACATTATTTTTCATTTTAATTCACATAGAATATGGCAACAATCATGTGCTGATCAATCATGATTGTTGATCCATGCAAATTTGTTTTGAAGTTAACATGACATTTTCACAAAGACGAGAGCACTGTGTGCGTGTCAGCATATGGTGCAACAAGTGGGTGGTTGTATTAGAGTGCGTGTCAGTCACTGTGTTCCGTGCTGTTCCCGCAGGATATGTGTCAGATCCCATGAGCACCATGCGTTTCCATTCATGCAGCAGCAATGGAAGTTTTGAGGACAGCAACTAGAAGCAGCAACTCTCTGAAGAACATCACACGCAAACACACTTGCATACATGACATGTCTGATTACCATAATTATGAGTTTTCGACTTTTAAAAACCACTGTTCACATTGTTGTCAAAGTCGTAATGTTCAAAGAGCTCCAACTTCTTTCAACCAAAATGGCACGACAAACATGAATCAAAACCTCACAATGAGTCATTTGGCAAATAAGAGTGTTATTAAATAAACAAATAATTCAGAGTAGAATATCAGAATTGTCAACTTGTAATTATTATGGTGAACGCACCATATTTAGTCTAAGGACACATAACACTCAATTTGGATGATTTGTTTTCTTTTTTTTGTGTTATTTTTCAGGCATTGTGTGTACTTTTGTATAAGAATGAAGATTTAAACATACTTATTATTCAGTTATACATTTTCATTATACATACTATATTATCTCAAAGTTTTGATTTCAAAGTCAAAACATTTATTTTTATTGTTTTTTATATTGTGTTTGGTGTTTCAGTGTCGAGTAAGTATCTGGTAGAGCAGGACAAATAAGTGTATTTCAGTATTTTATTCTAATTTCAAAAGCAAACAGCTTTTTTAGACAAATAAGCCAGCATGTGAAACAGGAACTTGACAAGATCATGACTGATGTCACCTAACAACACCTGGCCTTGCTTGTGGGATCGAAAAATCTCAAGTTTTGATTTTAACTCCAATGATCTGTATGAATATGACAAGAAACAAAGAAGGTATCATAGCAATGTATGTGAACTAATCCAGTGTAAAATCATAAGAACACCATTAAACTAGTGCCAAAAATCAGCAAGGTGTTCATGTCATTCACATCACACTATGCATCTGCATATTAAAGTGTTCTGGATACTAATCAGGAACACAGAGGAAAGTGCAAGCATTGAGGTTTTAGTTCAATTCTCTTAGTTAAGTTCTGAAGTATGTCAGTATACTGCTAGTGCAGCCTGACCAACTGGAGGGCTCTGCATCATGAATAATTAAATTATTTGTGCTGTGCGAGTCCTACGGTGTCTATTTTCAGTGGGCTGTTGATAGCTTCTCTACCAAGCATACAGGACTCACTATGGGTCTCTGATAAGGAAAAGGAAGTGCCACTATTGTAAACCCATTAATATGGGTCCAATCCTGCTCCTGGAAGGCCAATGTCTTGCAGAGTTCAGTTCAAACTTGCCCCGACACACCTGTCTGGAAGTTCTAGTAATCCTGAAGACCCTGATTAACTGGTTCAGATATGTGTAATTGGGGTTGGACCTAAACTCGGTGGAACAGGAGAAGGATTGGACACCCCTGGGTTAGCTAAAGGATTTACTATTGTTCTAATAACTGTTCTCCGTGTGAGCAGTCGTTAATCTTGGATATCCTGAGGGCCCAAAAAACCTTGCGTCGTCCAATGAGAATGTGCTTAAAGTGTCTCTGCTGCTGAGAGTCTGTTTTAAATGACCATCGATTACTTTCGTTCTCCTGTTTCCATCCGACTGTCTGGAATGGAAGTCTACACTTGCAGTGTCATCTTGGCTTCCGTTTTCCGATTTATTGATGATTTTGAGGTCTGTAATTACTGTGATTGTTGGACTCTGAGATACATGTTCAGGTTGCAAATTGTGTTCTGAACTCTCCAGGGTCTCTTTGTTACTTGCTTCCTCTGTTTGGGATAAATGCGTGGTTTCATCAGTCATATTTTGTTGATTACTTCTTTCTGACTCTTTTCCATTCAGGTTGACATTCGTCGGTACATCCTGATGTTCCATTTCAGATAGTGCTCGCTCTTGAATGTCTTCAGATGTTGCTGTTGTCCCTAGGTTTATGACATCATCTGATATTGAAGTTTCCTGTCCAGCAATGTCTTTTTGATTGGTCTGTTCTTCATTACTCTGTCTTGACCAAGCAGTGACCAAAGAACCTTTAGTATCTCCAGCCTCCTGGACTCTTTCATCTTTGGTTGAGGTATGTATGCTGTCTTTAGAGTGATTACTGTGAGCATCTGCTTCTATGGCCTCAGCTTTGGTCTCTGTTTTCAAGCTTTCAACTACAGACTCTGTGTTCTCATTGAGATTTTTCCTTGCAGGAGTTGCAATTTCATCTCCACTCTTGAGTGTTTCATCAAGGCCCTCAATATCAGTACTTGTTGGTGCGTCTGTAGCATTTACTTCACCATTTAGCCTCTCCTCGGTTTCTTCCGAGATAAGACCCTCTTCATCAAGAGGCTCGATAAATGTCTGAAAATACCTTGATTCTTGGTGTATGTTAATCCAGTTACTTACTAGATCTACCCCAGCTGCTTTAGTTAAAGCTTCTGAATGAATGGCCAGATCTTCTGAATCGATGCTCAGAACTGGATCTTTGACTTTCTCCACAGGCTGTGATTTCAGTGAATGGGAAACAGATGAGCCACCATCATTATTTACAGAATTCACTTTCCTCTCCAAAGGTTCCACTGGATCACCATCCATTACTTCAGGAGCATCTCTACTTCTCAGTTCATTGTCAGTACCTTTCAGTTCTGACTCATTTGGTTCTTGTGCTTTGGCATCTGCCGAGACAATGTCATTTTCTGTATCCTTATTGATTGTCTCCTGTGTTCTCTGAGCAGTTACGTTTTCTATGAACGTTGTTGCAGATGTTTCTGATTCTTTATCAGCCTCTTCTTTGTCTGCTTTTTGATTGTCACTGGCCTGGTCCTCATGTTCATCACCCAATTGAGACTCTCTTTCGGAGGGAACAAGTTCAGCATCTGACTTGTTTTCAATCTCTTGCTCGTTGTCATCATGTTTTTCTTCTTCTTTCACATCTTTATCAGTTTCTGGCTTTTCATTATCATCTATAACTTCTTGAGCCCTATCACCAGTTGTCTCACCCTCTGATTTACCTTGCGTTTCCTCTTGTAGATATTCTTCTACCTTCTCAGCCTCTTCAAGACTGACGTCTTGTCTCTCTCCATTTTCAGCATCCATGTTACTATCTAGCAGGACATTATTCAGCCCAGCAGGTTCATCCACTTCTTCCTTGGTACTGGCCTCTGTGTCATCATCGGGTGCCCCCCTTGAACCTACTTCATTTTGTTCTTCCTGTGAAACGGATTCCTCATTTTGGTCCTCAAAGTTGACCTCTAGTTTTTGGGCTGTATTTTCATCAGAAACGGCCTCTTCTTTTCCATCCCCTGCCTCTAAAGTATTCTCACTAATTTTGTTCATATCTGTCACCTCTTTCTTTGGCTCTTCTACCAACTTTTCACCCGTTTCTAGCTCATTCTCCACACAATTTCCATCTGCTCCCTCTGCCATCTCATCTATCTTTTGGTCCTCCATCTCTGCTTCTTCTTCCGCTTTCTGAGCCCCATCTTCCATTGTTTTGTCTTTCACTTTTTCGGTTTCTCCTCCATTATCATCCTCACTGTTTGGCTTCTCTTGCCCTTCTTCCTCTGCCTCAACACTAAGTTTATTTCTAACCTGTTCATCTTCTGTTTCGTTCTGTTCATCATCCTCTTTATCATTACCCTGTGTCCTTACATCTTGAACATCCTCTGACTCATTTTGTCTATTCCCAGCCTCACTAGACAGTTCTTCAGCTTCACCTTCATGTTCATCACCAACATTCACACCATCTTCAAATTTTTCTGTACTGTCCTCATTTTCTTTCTCTTCTGCATTTAAATTGTCGCCACCCTCTAACTCATTTTCTTTCTCACCATCTTGGGTCTCTTCATCCCCAGGTTTCTCTGTCTCCTCTTTTCCCAGACTTTCACTTCTATCCTGAACCTCTAGCTTTTCTGCAGCTTCTTCCTCTGCCTTATCTTCACTAGATTTTTCTCCATCTTCCACCTTACCATCATCAACCTTGTCATCTGTCTCCTGTACCATTTCCCCAGTTGACCTATCAACCCCAGCCTCATCTGCTAGGTCTTCTCTTTCATCTCTGTCTGTCTGTCCATCGCTCCTCCTCTCTATGTTCTGATCTACGTCATCAGCATCTCGCTGCCTCTCAGTGTCACCTGCACCTGTTTCTGTACCATTCTCTGTCTGAGATGCCTGACCCTCTCCCTCCATCTCTGAAACCTCAGTGTCTGTATTTCCAGTGTCCAACGTTTCAGCATGTGTCTCTGGTTCTTGTACTAATGATTCTTTGTCTTTTTTAGACTCTGTATTAACCTCTGCATTTGTATCATCTCCATCCATAACTTTCTCCTCTGCCTCCTCAGTTTCAGTTTTTACTTCCTCTCTTTTTTGTTGTTCAGCCTCATTTGTACTCTTACTTTGTTCTTTCGCCCTGTCTAAACTTTCTGCTCCCTCCTGAGTCTCATCTATTTCTTGTACTTCTTCTTCTGTGTGGAAATGAGGTTCCTGTGCATTTGTTTCTTCTGCAGGCTGACACTTCTCATCATCATGCGCCCTTTCCTCACACACAACTTCCTGTGTGTTGGCTTCACTTTCATCCAGAATGTCATCCCGTGTATTTGATGGTTGTGGCGAAGTGATTTCAGCCATTTCGGTTTCTGTAAAAGTGAGCATTTATAATTAAACCATTTCAGATTTATACATATTTACAAACACAAAACTGTCAATATTTTAATATACATTTATACTCATTTGTTGTGTAAAAATGTATCTTTACTAGTGCCATTTTGGAAATAAATAACAGAAAAGTAATTTGTCATTGAGCTTTATATGATCTGTGGACTGTGTTAATTAAAAGACGATTTTTTTTTTACCTTGGCCATCCTGTTGGGTCTTCACTGAGGCCCCTTCATCTTCCTCTGTGCTTGTATCACTAAACTCTGGCTCTGAACTACATTGAGATTCCTTCAAAATGGCCTCAGCCAACTTCTCCTGCATTGACTTGGCTGTTTACAGTCACGGGGAATGAGACAGACATATGACATCCATAACAAAATGTTAATGTTACCTTGTGAATTAACTAAATGAATAACAGTCACAATTAGTGGGATGAATTTCATGTTAAACATATTTAGAAATGAAACATAGAAAGCAATGAAACCAAAATAATAGTGTAAATGAAACGTTTATTACCACAGACACAGCAAACACAACATGCAGCAAACAATCACTTAAATGCTTTCACACAGGACGAGTGTCCAAAAAGGATCCATAACCGTCTCTGATGAGAATACACATGTATTTTACACAACACTTGAAGTGTACCAATTAAGCAAAACAGTGTTTTTAATCATGTGTGACAGAAAACGAATCAAAAATGGTTAGATGCACATTGATTCACACACACTGAAATCAGAAACTTAACACAAAATCACAAATAGAAAACACTGCTCTGTATTCCCAGCATTTAAACAAATCCACAAGAGCCAACATGTAATGCATACTATATAGATTGTTTATAGATTGCTTTGCAGTGCACTTGTCATATTATGAAATATAAGTAGCTCAAAAATATGTCTAAACATTCTTGATGAATTGTGAAAGTCAAGACAGATCAGTTTATACAGAGCAGTATGCTTATGGAAACACACATAACATGCTATCAAAAACACATTTGATGACACACAAACCAATCAATACAATGCTGTTTGCAAGACCACATAGAGTTAAACAAACTGGTCTCTCAGTGGTCTTGACAATTACACAGAGAATTATGTTACATATGTTCTGCTTTTAACACAATCAGAACTCGAGTAATTAGTGAGGTCATGTACTTGCAAAAAACGTAATTTCCTCTCCTCAGGTGAAGGCAAGTAAAGCTTTTCAGGTAATATTAGAGTAATAAAAGATGCTCATAAGTTAAAGCTGAAATGTGTCATTTCTGTGCCTGTAGTGCCAATAAACAAAAATGTAAAAACAGATGTCTCTGCATATTAAGCTGTGATAGGAGAAAGTATTTTAACATCCGACAAATGACACTTCAGCTTTAATTAAAAATGCAGTGTGAAGTAACTGAACACTTTGTTTATCTTGCAGCAATCCCAGCTAGTTTATTTGTAAATAGCATAAAACAGACCCTCCAGTTCTGATGTTGTAAAAGCTATCATGAATAAACACAAAAGATCATGACAGGCACACAGCACTATTTTCATGCAGACACTCACCTCTCTCCGGCTCATTTTCTTGTGGCTTATCTTCAGGTTTGGCATCCTCCCCAGATTGCTCACCTTCAGTTCCCTCTTTCTTGTCTGTGTCTTCTGACATTTCCAGGTCGCTCTTCTCCATGCCATCCCCTGGACTATCCTGTGTCCCAGAGTCTTCCGCTGCAGCTTGAGGCAATGTAACATCGCTGGACTCTGTGGCCTCTGTCTCCTCTGGTTTGGTCTCAGCTGTGGTGAGAACTTCCTCTGCATGTATGCTCTCCTCTGGAACATCAGCAGTGGTGACTTCTTTGGTGTCCTCCACAATTTCTCTTTCACTATTGTCATTGTCACTGCTGGACAAGCTGGACGTTCGACCAGATGAGACAGATGATGACCTTTTGACCTCTGAAGAAAGATGACAAATAATCTGTGAGTATTAGGTGTTTAAGAACACAGATAGTTCATATTACATGTTGACAAATGTTGCTGAAAAGTGTGACCATAAAGTAATACGTACTAGACATACTGGCAACATCACTGTCAGAGTTGCTTTTCTCTTCATTTATATCATTTTCATCCCTGTTCTCAGTTTCTTTTTCTCCTCTATTAGCAGCAGGTGATGGATTTTCCTCTACTTCATCACCATCTTCAACTGGCCCTTCATCATCTGCCTCAAAGTCCTCCTCATAGTCTATATGAGAGCACAACATAAATGTTCATTTAAAGATGCATTAAAATAACTTTTGTGCATTTAACATAAATTGTATCAGTATATGTGTTCTATGGGATTCAAACCCATGGCCTTGGTTTGCTAGAGTCATGCTCTACTGCTCTTCTACTACTAACTAAAGTAGATGAGACCATGTTTTTTAACCTGCATAGTACAATAGACCTGCAGAGGCATCAATTAAAGATTGTGTTTTTGAAATCAGCAAACTCATAGAGTTTGTACCGTCTTTGGTCTTTTTCTGTCGTGTTGTTTCTCCATTAGGTTCTGTCTCCATTTCCTGAGGCGTGTCAGGCTCTGCATTGGAATGTGTTTCTATATCTACATCTGTGGCCTCCTTAGCATCAGAGGATTTAGTGGTTGGCAGCTCCTCTTTCACTCTTTTTTGAGGAGGGGTGGGTTTTTTGTCCAAGCCCATAGCAATAATACACCTGAAGAATGACATCGTACAAAACCATAATGCATCTTGATTAGTGGTTGACCAATGTGTTTTTTTTCAATAGCCAAAGCTAATAATGATAAATAGGGAGTGTGGTGGTCGGTAAGATTTTGTTAAAGTTATCCTCAACAAGGCTGTATTTGGTCAAAAACACAGTAAAAATAGTAATATTGTGAAATATTATTACAATTTAAAATAACTGTTTTATGTTATAATATATTTTAAAATACATTTTATTCCTGTGATGAAGCTGAATTTTCAGCAGCAATTATTCCAGTGTCTCATGATCCTTCAGAAATCATTCTGATATGCTTTTTGTGCTTCTTAATATTTTTGGGAATACACTTTTTTTATAACTTATTATTGTTATAAATGTATTTACTTTCACTTTTGATCAATATAGTCCATCTTTGCTGAATAAAAGTATTATTTAAAAAAAGACTTAGTGGCCCCAAACTTTTGAAAGGTAGTATGTACATATAAAATTAAAATTTATATATACTGAAATAAATTTTCATTACTTGTAGCATGGAGAGGCTCCTTCCACACCGCAAAATCCAAAGTGTCCATGTCTGCCCCCAAGCCGAGCACCTTTCCTGTGTTTGAACTCACAGCAGGAGCTGAGCCGATCCACTTGCAGGCCATTCAGGAAGAAGGTAAGACTGAAGGGAAATCCCTGGTGGCGTCTTGACACAAACTGGAACACTTCTACAAGTAAGGGTAAGCAAAGAAAGTTAATTTTCATTTGCCTTTGATGATTGTGTCTTATAATCAAAGAGGAGAATCACATAATATATGCATAATATATTCTAATATATGCGACACTACCAGGTAAGAACCACTTATTATCAAAAAGCCCCCAGATCAATAGTGTAACTCAATTCATGGTGTCCTTAAAATATGAATTACAAAGCCCAGATGTACAGAGATCTACACTGACCTCCTTCTCTCAGCTTCCCTTTGTAGACACACAGGTTCTCTCCTCCACAGTGCTGCTGGAAGAGCTTCACTTCATCTCTGAGGTCCATCAGATCATGGGACAGGTGAACACTCTTCCCAAAGTACACCATGCTTACTAATACTTTACTCTGGGCTGATGTCCTCTGGAGAGAAGACGGCTGCAGACGGAGGAATAGCATAGTGTATAATAGAATATTTGTAAGTGAAGGTTTATTTCAATGTAAATAACTTCAATATACTGACCTCTGTAGCAGCTGTTGGTGCCGTAGTGGGTCTTAACTTTCGACCCCTGAGTGTGCCGTTCGCTCTCTGCCCTCTTTCTTTCTTCTTTGTGAGGGGTGGCACAGGGGTCACATAGTTGTTAATGACAGGAAGACGGTAGGGCGAGACAGTGCTAGAGAAGTCTGTTGTTGTCAACTGTTTCACGGCATCTCTGTCCAGCTATAAAACAACCCAGAGAGACAGAAATGTTAGTTATTACTGTTCACTAAAACGTAACTACACTTAAAATCATAAAACAAATAAATGTTTGTTACTTGAAATAAACAAATAAAAACTGATTCAAAATATTAATAAAAACTATAATAGTATCTTGATACTAAAATAACAATGCTCTAAGGTTGCTAGTTTATTGCTCTGGAGACCAGTGCTTATAAAACTTTGTTTTTCCTAAAAATCTGTATAAGAAATAAAACAAACAAATTGAGAAACAATTGTTGACTTACAGTAAAATTAATTAAAAAGACTTTTGATTAATAAAAAAAATACAATTATAAAAATCATGTGAATCATATCTTTGATAATTTGGTTTTATAAGAATTTTATGAGCAATATTTCTAATATTAATATCAAAATCTTTTGATTCTTTTAATACTTCAGCGCAGCAGTATGCAAATTAGTAATATTAGACGTTTGAGTGTGATTTGTGCTTTGTAAGTGACCCGTGATAAAGGGCTTTGTAAGTGAACATGTATTAGGATCTCAAGATGGTCTCACTGTATAACTGAGGGGCTGATCGGTGTCATTGGAGGAGTCCCGGTCCCGGTCCCGGGGTCTGTGTCGAGGGGAGGTTCTTTTCAGAGAGGCCGTGGCACTGTTGCTGTTTAGGGGCTTAAGTCGAACAGGCCTCTGCATCTTCCCTGGAGCTGTGTTTGGCCTGGAGGAACTCGGCTACAGGAGTATGACAATAACTCACTTACCAAATTTGAAATATAATATCTGAATATACATGTTTGTGACATGTCCTACTAATGTAACACTTGTGCATTATAGAAAAGGAGTTATATATACAGTACACTAAGATTAGTGTATTGTTATTTATTATGCAGTGAATACAAACCTCCAGTAAATAAATGTATTGTTGAAATAGATAAATAAATACAAAAATTCTGTCACAAAAATTCTAATCGCATTAATTACAAAATATTAATTTAAGTAACCAGTAAAACCTACTTTTAAGTAGAATTTAAACTAATGAAACTAACAATATGAGATCTTAACATATGGGTTTGCAAAAACATATCTAGAGAAACCAGAGCAAACAATAAAGCTCATGTGTCATCAGTTTGCTGGAGCAGTAACTCTCCTGGCACCTAAAACGTCAACAGGCAAACATCCATGATGGGAACAACCACAACACTTCATATCACCTTCTGTTAAACATGTCAGAGCCTGATGAGCAATCAGTGATCTGAATCCGCAAATTTAGCAATCATGAGGACTAGCTGGGTAACTATCTTGAATAAACGCAAGCAGATTTAAATTCATCTTCTTTTTTTTTTTGCAAAAGTGGCAGAAAATGTATTGACAGCACATGACTAGGAAAACAGTTATTTATAATACAGCATTAAAGCACATTTTATTATGGAGGGGGTACCTACTAATTGTAATTTACAGTACGTAAACTAAAAGGAAATGGTTAGTTGATAAAGCTATTTTACCCATTATACACTCAAATAGGCCACTCACAGATTCTGTTGACTCAGAATGCTCTCCCTCCGGCCCAGAATGCCGTGCGTGTGAGATCTTTGGCCTTGTGGGTGGCCGAGGTGACAGCATTAGCATTGGTTCATCCTCATATCTCTTGGTGCGCTCAGCCTAACATAAAATGCAAAAAGTTGAATCACAAAATGAACTTTATTATCATGTAACCAAGGCCACTTTGAGTCTGAAAGGAGTTCTGTAAAAAGACAAACCTTCATTTTGTGGATTTGTTCCCTCCGTGCAAATTCCCCAAGTTTTCTCTTGATCTCAGTTTGATGAAGGCGCTGAATAAACAGCGGAAAAGTGAAATATCTTATAGAGAATATATGGAAAAACCTTTTTTTTTTCTTGCTTTAGTACAGGATTTCATAAATTTTCTCTGATTTTATGAGACGTCTAGATTAAAATGACTAATTGTGCTTCATTTAAACTAACTGTATTTGTTTAAAGGTTTCATAAATACTGCCTTTATACTGTAAAAATCAGATTATGTGAGCAGAATATCTGACATCAGTACCCTTACTTTTTGACGCTGCACAATGGCCAAGGATAATAGAGCGTCTGATAAAGCACCTGTGGACTGTATAATGCTCTCACCTCCATGTCTAGCACCTTGTGAAAGATGGCCTGAGCTAGACACTCCCTCACATGTCTCTGATGCGCTCGCTGGATCAGCTTGTGTTTGTACTCCTTATCAGGAACAATCCGGCCGCTCCGAGTGATCTGAAGCACATGCACCTGCATTTAATGACTGATGCATCTGATCTTGTATAAAATAAAGTGCTTTTCCTTTCATCTTTTAACAGGTTATCTAAAGTGATCATTATGAGAATCACATTCTATAACTCAAGCTCAACGTATGTTAGTTTGTAAATATTTAAACTTTTTCGAATGATCTAAACTCTCAGTTAATCTCAATGAATAATCAATCATAACATAATTTTCTAGCTTGACTATCTTAAATGTGCACATACCAGGCCGACTTTCTGAAGATGTCTTCGTATTCTTGCATTGTTGAAGTATACAGTCAGATGTTTGTCAGTTAAGCTATTGTAAACTGAAATAAGACTACATGGACAAAAACATTACCAACACTGTATTCCTGAACTTTTCATAATATTAAGATGTTACACTATTTGAATTAAAAAACTGTATACAGTCAGATGTTTGTCAGTTAAGCTATTGTAAACTGAAATAAGACTACATGGACAAAAACATTACCAACACTGTATTCCTGAACTTTTCATAATATGTTACACTATTTGAATTAAAAAACATTTTTTTTGTCAGTATCTGCAATCCCAGTGGAAACCGGCCTGCTGCCAGGCACATTGTAACATTCATACAGCTCATCCCAGGCATGATGGACTTGTAATGTAAAGACAGGCCTGACCAGATTGATGGAATGATTCAGTGATCCTCAAGGCCACCAGTGCCAAGGATTTCAGCTTGAGGTGAACACTCTACATCTGTGTCAAGTGTAGTCTTGGAAATGCTCGACTGTTTGTCTGCCTGGCTTTTTCCGATACAGATTTGATTTCCCTCAGCGTTTGTAAAGAAGACAACACAACCTGTACACCAATCCACAGGCCAAGTAGATACCATTACCAGTGTCTGGTTTCTATTGGAATTGAGTGTGGATGGATAGCACACTTAACCCATGGCCCCCTCTGAATTCATGTCTCTCTCTAACATTGTTCAGAAATAAAACATAATGCCTGTGAAAAACAGTCTAAACATATGGATTCATTCTAATTACACTTAGGCTAAATATAATTCATTTTGTCTTAATTATCAATTAAGACACAGAATTAATATGAGAGCTAGAGATTCGAGGCATGTTCAACAAATAAACAACATTCCCTTGATATACAATAAACAAGTCATGCCTGAACAATATAGCCTTTCCATTAAGGAGTGGTTGATCTCTTTCTGTTGTTTCATCTCCACAGTAACAATAGCTTTTGGTCATAGTGTCATGCCATAAAAAATAAAGCTGAAAACTCATAATTATTATGCATACTGCTTGGTAATACAGCTAGCAGTCTAGGACAGGACAGTAACTTAGTTAGAGAGCATTTTATACCTACATTACAGTCAACACTGCAACTTGGTCTAGCTTAGTTACTCACCCTGGGTTTAGATTACTCATTTTGTCGGTGCGCAGTGATCTTTGATATGAACCAAGCAATCAAGCGATAATACGAGAGCTTTCTTTAATCCAGAGGACAATAAAACTATGTGTGCATCTGTCTGCCCAGCTCTGAATACTCAACACCTTTCCTCGCGCGGAACTGATGACAGCCAGCGTTGCCATGGTGAATCACGTGACGATGCGCATAAGACTCGGCATTCTTTGTGCTATATTGTAATAATATTAATAAATCTTATAGTCGAATTTTTTACATATCCTTGATGTAAATAAAAATACAGGGCTTATTAGATTGAAATATAAAAGTTGAATAACGGGGGGAAAAAATAATCATGTCATGTATTGTCTAACATATCACTTATGTAAAATGTTATGGTTTTGAAGATGTTTTAGGCCCAAACTGAATTTGGTTTATTTCGTGGAGATTATTGTAGGTCAGGTTACAATACGCCTTAAAGCTGTACATTAACGCCCTCTAGTGTTTTCACTGGGGATGTTCAGTGAGTAAAATAAGCATTAAAGGGGTCATATGACGCGATTTCAAGTTTTCCTTTCTCTTTGGAGTGTTACAAGCTCTTGGTGCATAAAGAAGATCTGTAAAGTTGCAAAGACTAAAGTCTAAAATCCAAAGAGATATTCTTTATAAAAGTTAAGAGTCAGCCAGGCCTACCTAAAACGGCTGGTTCTAACACGCCCCCACCGCGGCTTGTGTACTGCATCATCACTGTGTCTGTCACGCGACTCTGTTGCCCTTTCGGGCTTGAACTGGTCTTGATATTTACTTTGAAAGCTGAAGCGATTATGGTAAGGAGTGTTACATTTCCGACACGTGCTTGTGGTGTTCGGCCAATCATAATGCACTGGGTCAGCTGGCCAATCAGAGCAGACTGCGCTTGTCAAAGGAGGGGGCTTTGTTGAAAACGACGTGTTTGAGAGAAGCGGGGCATACAGGACCTACAATAATGTACAGTATTTGAAAAATAATGTGTTTTTTGAACATTAAAGCATGTCAACATATTCTGTTACAC